GGTGATAGTTTAGTCATTGTCAATTCTTATTTTGGCTTTGGTCTCCAATAACACATCCTTACCCTCAAGGACCCTTTCTGGTTCCTTCATAACTGCCTTCCCTGTCTCAGACTGTGACTACACTAGTAAGCCAAATTTGAGCAATTTGATGTATTCACGAAGGCTTTCACGGTCGGGATCTAATGGTTGTTGTGAGTTTTTCGGACTCTTCGGACGTGTTCTGGGGGTTGTTCTTCCTAACGTTTCGCCAGTCTCTGTTGCCAGCATCTTCAGAGGACAGGAGTAGCACATTTGACTTTGCTACATCTTGATTTGCAGCTTGTTTTATTCTTCCATTAGTATTAGTTGATCACACAGAGACTGCAGATTGTTTTGGTGCCAATTTCCACACTGGCTGCTCAATCTGATGTGGTTTTAATCTGGGCTGCAGTGCACAGCCACTCCTTCCTTTGACCCCACTGTCTATCAATCCCTGGCTGTCCATTAAAGTTTTGCATGGTTCCAGGGAAAAAAGGAGAGTTTTTCAAAGCTCTCCATAGCAAACAAACATATATATATATATACATACTGTGGAAACATGCTGTAATTTGACAGTGTTTCTATTTCATATCAATTTTGCAGAGATGATCTAGTGCTAAACTGGCATATCAAGGTAGATATAAGATGTTCTAGCACTAAACATGGTAGTTTGTTTGTAACACACACACACACACACTTTGGGGCAACTAGGGAGAAAAACTGCAGGCGTGGATGTTCCCACTCTCCCAGAACATCACACCTCATCTTATTAGATCACCACAACATTACCCTCATCCAGGTTTCTTTCTTTTTTTGGACATTCTGGGTTATTAAAATTTATTGGTTCTCTTTATTTATGTCCTCGTGAGTGGAGATGGGTTGTTGTGGTTTTAACTGCTGTTAGCCACCCAGAGTAGCACTTAGGCACTAAGTGGGCAGGATATAAATGTAATGAATGAATGAATAAAATTATATTAAAAAGGGCCAGACTGATTCAAACTGGCCTTTGCATTGTGTGATCTGTTTTTTTTTTTAAAAAAATCCATCCTGCAATATTTGACCAGGTATTCTCAGCTTCAGTCATCTTCTGATTTCCAGAATCAGATGATTGAATCCAGGATTTGAAAATCTTTAAGAATTTTAGTTTCTTCATTGTCAATGTTCAAGTTATGTCATCGTTTTGAAGGGTGTTTTTAATGTTCAACGGTAATCCTGCTTTTGCCCTTTCTTCTTTAACCTGTCTGAGTAGTCATTTTAAGTTATTACTCTTTTCTGCCAGTAATGTGGTGTCATCAGAATATTTTACTTTTTTTAACTTTTCTTATTTTGAATTTAATAATCTTAATTTAATTACAATACATTTGAGGTGGAAAAGGGGGATTAAAAATAGGTAATACAACATAAACAATGCATCTTTTTGAAACCATTCACAAAAATGAAGTTACATTTGTATGGAAAAACAACATCGGATCAGCCAGAAGTCTGGTCCTTGGTGAGGAAAAAGTTTCAACCATCAAAATTCATTTCTTCAAAATTTCACATAGTGTACAGGTAACCCATGGGGTAAAGAGTCACTTTTTTGTAAATAAAATCAGTGGATGCCACATAGCAGTGAATGTATCACTTTTTACTCCCCTTTTGCAGTTCTCATTTTATATGTTAATTTCTCTGGTAGTGCAATGGACCAAAACCCTTTTGAGCCACTTAACACACATTGAGGCCTTCTAATGTTTTCCAGTATATAGCAATTTCAAGGCGTGCAGGAGAAATCAAATTTTTATGGAGTAGTTTTTTGTTATCGCCAGTGAAAATGGAAAGCAGTAACAATTCATTACAGTTTTCGATTGATTCACCTGTTGTAAGTGTGAGCATGTTATGGACTTTTTTTCCCCAGAAACAAGATAGTGCTGGACAAGGAAGTTGCATGTGTGACAGGGTTTCTACCATGCCACATCTTCTCCAGCACAGAGAAGAGAGATGCTTATTACATCTTTCGAGGATAGTGGTTGACAGATGCCGGAAATAGGATAATTTGAGAACTCATTCCTCCAGTTGTGCAGAAAGACATTTAAATAGTGAAGAAGTCAAAATTTGGTTCATTAGGTGTTGGGGATGGATAATGTTAGGTCTGCCTCCCAAGTTAATTTAGACTGAGTGATCTTATGTTTCCTCTATCAGTTGGTTATATTGGAGACCTGACCTTTAGTAACATTAATAGGTGTGGCTCTTAAGTTAAATGTAATGATGAATCTAATGTGATAGTCCTATAGTTACTGCATTCTTTGACATCTTTGTGGTTAGAACATGCGTCGTGCATTTTTAGTCTGTTATCCATTGGCTTGTTTACCATAGTTGCTGGCATGTTCTTGTTAGGATTGTAATAAAGTCTTGGTAGCTTGAAGTTGCTCTGTTGGTATCATATCTATTCCTGGTGACTTATTTCTTCCAATTGCTTTTAGAATAGTTTTCTGTCCACTTTCTAAAATTGTAGGTTCTTCATCAGAGTATCCTTCTTCAAAAGAATCTGCCATTTTTTCACCACCAAGTGATTCTCAAATGTCTGTTAAAAGTGCATGATCACTTTCAGATTTCAGTTGAAAGCAGCCTTCCCTCTAATTTTCCAGAGCACTGCGCAGGGCCCCCGCCCCATGCACACAGGCTTCTGGCCATGACCAGAAGCAAATGAGTGGCAACACTGGCTTGGCTGCACTTCCCTGATGTAGCGCTGCAGAGGCAACATTGGTGGAAGCTAAAGTTATTCTAGGAAAAAAAATTGTAGGGAGGACCTTTCTCAAATGTTTCCATCACACTATCAGAAATGTATGCTTGAATTAGATGAGCCCCTGGAAACGCAGGCCCTTTGTACCTGCAGTGTGTATAACTGAAATTAATGAAAACAATATATTCTGACGAGATCATCAGGAATTCTTGGTATTAATCTGGGTCTGATCTTTCACAGTGACACTAAATATAAGAAATTGAGAGTTTGATTTGGAACCCTGTTGTCCAGATTACAAAATTAGAAATCTAGATAATTAGTGTCCTTGTTGGAATTAATGTACTCATCAAGCTGTGATCGAAATAATGTAACACATGAGTAATGTTACCAAATAATTGGTTTTGGGACTGTGTTTTTAGGACTTCAGTGTTTGTACAAGCATGCCATTTTCAGGTTATGTAAAAGATCTGTTAATGTGGTTCATGGGTACATACATTAATGCTTCACAGACTCTGAATATTTTGAATATAGCTAGAGGACAAGGCAGCATGATCAGTAAGAAACAGTTGAAGTCATTAGGCTTCAGGCTTCCTTCTGAAGTGTTTATTTAAATCATTACCTAATTATAAACCAGTTTGAGGATTTAATATGGAATTGCATTTGAGTCTTCTTTCAACCTATCATGGACATTGCTTTGCTTCTAGCCTTCATTCAAGCCTCTTCTTTTTTTTAGCTTCTTGCATCTGGTATAGCAAAAGAACAGAATGACAGATAGAAAATAAAACAAACAAAACAGAAGTTTCCTTGTAGCACTAATGGAGAGCAAAAGAACAGCTCTCCTTCTTCTGTTTCTAATTTCAAATAAGGTGCGGTGGACACCTAAAACCAAAGTTCTGCAGCCCAAACTGAGTGGGGCAGGGGCTTCTGATGAGGGGTCTCTCTGTCTCTGTCTCTGTCTCTGTCTCTGTCTCTCTCTCTCTCTCTCTCTCTCTCTCTCTCTCTCTCTCTCTCTCTCTCTCTCTCTCTCTCTCTCTCTCACACACACACACACACACACACACACACACACACACACACACACACACACAGGGCGGGAAGGAGGGAGGGAGGAATCTGCTGGAGGAGAGGAGAGCAAAGGAGAGATGTCTGTTTTCTTGTGCATGTGTTGGGCTACAAGGAAACATTTGTTTACATTATTTTTCTGTGTGGCATTCTGTTCTATCACTATACCAGATGCAAGAAATTAAAAAAACAACAACAGAGGCTTGAACGAAGGCTGAGAAGGGAAAGTGCTGGTGGTAAAACTAATGCCATAGCAGAGCAACTAGTGGCTGTAAGAAGCAGCCACCGAGACGGCGGGCAGAAGCAGGACAAAGCCACAAACACAGCTTTAAAACAGATTAAAAGTTCTCACAAGAAGACACACAAACTGACACAAAAACCATGTGACTATCACGTGACTGTTAACTGGATTCAAAAATCCCAATCCAGGACCTGATTTTTTTCCCTTTAGTCAGTCTGTTGTCACCAATATAGTTAGAGACCAAAGCTGGGCGTCCAGTCAGTATTTCAGGAAAGGGAATGGGTGAGCTGCTGCACCTTGAGAACAAAACAAAACTTTTGGTGTACCTTGTGGCGCCGTGATTAAACTGCTGTACTGCAGCCAAAACTGTGCTCATGACCTGGGGTTCAATCCCAGGTAGCCGGCTCAAGGTTGACTCAGCCTTCTATCCTTCCGAGGTCGGTAAAATGAGCACCCAGCTCGCGGGGGGGGGGCAATGTGTAGCTTGCATAACTAACTTGTACACCGCCCAGAGAGTGCTTGAAGCGCTATGGGGCAGTCTATAAGCAGCACGCTTTGCTTTGCTTTTTGCTTTATGGAGTATAAGTACACCTGTATTTTAATATTTATGCTTGACAATTTGTGGGCTCCAGGTGCAAAACTTGCTGTCATAAATCTGTTTTCATTTCTGAAAGTGCTTCCTCATCGTCACAAATTAATTAGGGTGGTTTTCATTTTGTGCTTCACTGATTTCTCTCTTCACCTCTAATTGTAGCATTCTAGAGGTCTCTGGGAATGATGGTGGTGTAACCATAAAGAGTGCACTTCAATTAGAGTTTGTTTCAAGGACATGAACTAGTTGTGCAAAGGGAGCTGCAGCTAACTTTCTTACTGCTTTTTGAAAAATGGAAGGATATAAAAGTATTTTTAATGGAAACTCTTCAATGTATACTAAGGTGGATTACTTTTTGTATGCTATAGGGTACCACCTGAATGGGTCTGATTGATGTGGAAAAGAGCTACGACTTTCATTTGCAAAGGCGTTGTGAGGTTTCCTGCAGACTGGTAAGTACACACTGTGCATTATATGTAGGGTGCATCTATGCTACACATATCAGTTTGATTCCATGTTAATTGCCATAGCTTCCTCCTGTGAAATCCTAGTCTTTGCAGTTTAGTGACAAATGTAGAATTCTGTCAGATAGCTCTAGTACTTACCCTTGAATTACTGCAGAAATAGGCATACCATTAAACTACAGAGCCCAGCATACCCCACAAGGTTATATCTTATTAGATCATTTGCAATATCAGTTCATAGAAGGAAAAAGGAAAGATAAACTTAAATATTTCATGCAAAACAGATAATCTGGAAAATAACAGCAAGTATAAAATCACTGTAGTCTTCATTGGAATTTTCTCTCTCTTTTTAAAAAAAACCTTCTACATGTGTGTATTAAATAAAAGTTTTAAACTGTTACATGAATTCTGAGCTCTTGAGATGAATTAGTCTGTGGTTCAACTTTTAAAAATCTCTCCTATTATCCATTTGCTCTGGTTTAATGCTAACTTGTGTGAGTTATGGTGTACCATTGCTACTTTTTGACATTTATCTCCCAGCATGATTTCCTTAGGTAGCGTTTAATTTGCAAGTTAGTTGTGGAAAGTTATTTTGAGTCCTTTTATTTCTTTAGCTAGCTTCATTCTAGTTTCTAATCCTCTATCACCTTGGAAGTTTGTAATTATATCTGTGCAGGGCTTAAAAAACATTGTGACATAGTTTGAGTTTCTTATTACTGACCTGAATGGTATTTTTACAGTGATAACACAATGGCATTTTTTATGCTGAACCAACTAATTGAAATTATACATAAATCTAATACGAAAAGAGAGTTTATAGTCATTTGGTACCTCAAGTTATTCTGAGCAGTGTTGGCAGATGAGATGCACAAGCCCTATTTCAAATACGAATATAAAGGTGTATTACCATTGCATTTGTTGAACATCTATTCCATAGTCCCCAGATCAGGAATGAAGGTAGCATATATATATAAAAAAAGAGAATCTCAAAATGGAGGCCATGTGCATGAAACAAATACTTGTGCCAGTGAAAATTGTTGGGCTAAATGCTCCCTCTGTATCTGTGTTTTAAATATATACAGTAGTAAATATGTGTTACTCAACTGATTCAGATGACTTCGTCAGAATTTGGGACTTAGTAGCTGAAGATACTGGAAAATTAGGTATTTATTCCAAAGAATCTTATAAGTATTTCAAGCCACAGGAATTCTTAATTTAGTATATAAATACCCTGTATTCAATTTTTTTAAAAATTAAACTGTGGTCTTTGATACAGCACAAAATTGGCTCAGCAGAAATAAACTAATCCTTCTCAAATATTCAAAGTTTACTTTATGGAATTGGAACTAGGTAGTTGGCCAGAGGCTGAGAAGAAAAGTGTGTGTCTACTTTTATAAGTATTACTCTTCCATGAACTGTCAATACACAGTATATGATACAATACTGTGGCCCTATGTTTCCCTCACATTCTAACCCTGTATTTCATGACCTTTTTCATGTCATGGTGAGAGTGTACTTCCACTGGCTGGCCAGGACAAAACCTCTGCTTTCCCTTTTACTGGTTTCAACAACCAACCCATCTGTGATTGTCAGCAGTCTTGGCCTCGTTACCATAATTTGCGATCACATTTTCTTGTAGCTGGTTCAGAAGATAGTGGCTTCCCCTTTAAACTGCTTATTAATTGAAACTATGTTGGAAATCATGCCCGTAGTGCTGTTACTCTTGACTGGTGGGTAGATTGGCTCCTCAACCTTAAAAAAAATCTCCCTCAGAACAACAGTGTTTCATAATGGAGAATCATTCCCATGGGCATTCTGTCAAATTCGGTCAATTCTGTCATTCAGTACTGTATTTCAAAAAGGAATACTGCTGAGGAATTGAACTGGCAGCAAAGCTCCCCTCCCAATTAAAAATAATTAAAAACAAAAATATCCTCAGGCAGCTCACATATAAACTTACTCCCCCTAAAAAATTATTTGAGTTTTCTTGCTTCTGGGAAAGTCACTGGTATTCAACCTGTAGTTTTATGGGAGAGCAAGTTGTCGTGCAAAGGTAGCGTGGGAAATAATCAGTCTTCTTTGAGTATTGTCTGCAACTACAAACAGTGGCTTGTGCCATTTCAGCACAAAGGTTTTTCTAGAGATATTGGGAACCAAACTTAAGATCTTTTGCATGCAAAACATGATCTCTTACAGTGACCTATGGTCCTTGCTGAAACCACATCTTCCACTTTCTTTATGACAACATAGGCTTTAATATCAAGTCAGATGATTTTGTTCACTCAACTCCTTACTGTCTGGGGTGTCTAGCCCCTGCCCAGGGTTTCAGGCTAGAATATTTCCCATCTTGGAAAATGCCAGGACTTGAACTTGTGATATTTTTAATTAAAAGAATTGCTGTTGACCTACATCACTTCAGGTAGTGTGTGCCAGCATATGTGCACACATTCACAAAGTCCATTCTGCTGAGATGGGCTAGTGCAGTGGTCCCCAACCTTGGGCCTCCAGATGTTCTTGGACTACAACTCCCAGAAGCCTTCACCACCACCTCTGCTGGCCAGGATTTCTGGGAGTTGAAGTCCAAGCACATCTGGAGGCCCAAGATTGGGGGCCACCGGGCTAGTGGTTCGTTCATCTAGATGTCTGCTATGATTGTTAACAAATCTTCAGGGGCTCAAACCTAGGCCTTTCCTAGATCTGTTGCTTGAGACACAAAGGACAATAGACATGGAGCCTTTTAGATACGGTGATATTTATATCCACATTGTATATGTTTCGTTAATGAGCTAGGACAGGTTAGACTATTCCTCTCTTTGTGGCAAAGTCCTATTCATGCTTTTCAGGATAGTCATTTCAGTGATGGGAGAAGAACAAAATGAGCAGTAATGGTTTTAAAAAAAGGATTTGTAAAAGGATCCCCACATTGTAGTTTAGATAGTAAGTATAAAATGGTGTTGATCTCCAGTTTTCCTTTGCCTTTACAATTTAATCCAGGCTAATTGTAATACAACAAATTTATTACTGGTGTGTCTGTGTTTGAGCAGGTGGTTAATGTTCAACCTATTGATGCAGATAGATGAAGTACAGTAACTCCTGAACTCTGCCCAGATGGCATATTTATTTTTTGTAGTTCAGGTCTGGTATTTGTACCCTGTTTTACCGAAAACAAGACCTACTATGATTTTCTAGGATGCTCGTAATATAAGCCCTACCCCCTCCCAAATAAGCCCTAGTTAAGTGAAACCCCACCCTCCAACATTGTGCAGCAACAAGAAGAAGAAGATTACATGACTGTATTTGAATAAACGTAGATTGTTGTACATGACAAGAAATAAGACATCCCCTGAAAATAAGCCCTGATGCATTTTTGGAGCAAAAATTAATATAAGACCCTGTCTTATTTTCGGGGAAACACGGTAGTAAACACCTTAGATACAGTAGCATCCTCTTAAATACAAATTCCATGTAGCAGATGACAGAACATAATGGAAACATAAACTGTTACACAAATAAACCTGTCAGATGTATAACATTGCTGCTATAAACAGCTATTGAGTTTACATATTAGGTGAGGATGCTGATTTTTGGAGTCAACAATAGTGAAGCCTGTGGAAATTTAACTCTTGTTGAAAATAGGCTTTTAGTGCAAATTTGAGGTTAAATTGCACTAGTTTCCTTTAATGGGTGCATTTTGAAAATCTGTTGAAGCAAATTCAAGCAATATGGAACTGACCTAAGTGTGATTTTTTGTTTGATGTCTTGTTGCTGTACCTTAGGATACCTCTAATGAATTGATGTTAAATTCTTCTTTAAACTGGAGTACCGTAGGTGATGGGATGAAATCACCAAAATCATGCTTTTATTGATGATCTTATTTCTGTTCATTTTAATCTCTTGATATATTTAACACAGTAATGTGTTCCCTTCATCCTAACAAAGCTAAGCCTATGACATAGATGTTACATGTTACATTAAAGCGTCTGATTAATTTTGTGGGGCATCTAAAATACACAGCAATATTCTGAGCTACCTGCATAAGTCAGCCAGGATAATTCACCCTGGTGAGGTCACTGCGGTGTGAAACTTCAAATAATTTGGATGACTTTTGAATACATGTAGTTCATATTTTGCATAATGCTGCATTTTCAGGTCACTTACTTTGTGACCCAGCATTCTCTTTTCCTGACAGATTTGTAATGGTAGCAAGTGGAAATTTGCTGTGCTGGGCATATTATGCTCTGCTTCCAGCATTTCCACGGAAAGGTCTTCACTGTAGAACAACAGAGGCTTCAGTCAACTTTATTACATCATTACTGACATGGCTGTTTCTTTTCTGCTTGCACAGTGACAAATAATATGTTATAACCTCAATGGTAAGATAATCTAAAATGTTTAAAAGCAATCAGGTCAGATGGAACCAAACTCCATGTAATAGTCTGTTGCAAAAGAAGGATGTGGTCAGGATAGTTGGCATTTATAACCTTGTCATTGATGTTGTTGGATTTCTTCCCTTTCTAATTGTTCATGTAAAAAAAACAAAACCCACAAAAACCCTTCAACCATTCAGTAAGAAGTTGACAGTTTGTGTCAGTGCCTTTTTGTAATCACCCCTGTCCATACATATCCAGGACAAAACAGTTTGAGCCATTGCTGCTTAGATTAGCACCATAAAGGTGACAACAAGGACTCTTAAGATCATCCAAGCAGGACTGCAAACTGAAGGAAATACTTCCAGCCACTAAGAAATGTTATTAATTTAGCTCCAGTTGGCTCTGCCTAGTAGTCAGACTAAATTCTAACCTCATATCTCTGATGGAGTCTTACTGGGTTTTTGTGTTGGGCTGTTTCCATAGGAACTTTGCAGTTTCAAAAGAAGGCTATATGTGTGTGTGTGGGGGGGGCGTCATGCAAACTACCTGGCGATTCTTTGTGTGAGGAGCTGGTAGTGATATCCCAACCAACAGCTACCTGGACTGTAGTTTGAAAAC